CCATATGTGTGCCAGGGAAGGAAATATATCCAGAACGTGGGGATACAGGGAGCATGTTGTCCTGATAGAAGCAAAAATGATTGCGTTTATCAGTGAGTCTCAGGACTGTCTGCCCTTTTTCTTGATCAGTATCATCTGCATCCTTAAAAGGTTTCTTTTACTACACTCTGAGATACCTTCCTGTTGAAGGAAGGGAAGAGAACCATTAAATTGATTTGTGTCTGAATAGGGGCTTTGACAGAGCCAGGCTCTATCTCACAAGCCACAAGAAATAGTCATTTCTTCCTTCTGTGCCAGGGAAGGGCAAATCGTGTCCAGTTTCTGCAGCTGGTGGCCATGTGGCTGCAGTTGGTCCCACACCATCCTGCCAGCATCCCCTGCAGCTGCTGCCAGCCTGGCTGCTCAGGGAAGCACACTACTGCATTGCAGGAGGGATCCTGTGCAGGAATAGAATCCTGGAGTTCATTAGTGACCTGGAGTATTGATCCTAGAGCCTTGATTTATCCCTCAGCATTTCCCAGCCAAGTGTCTGTGCTTTTACAGTGAAGACATTACAGTCGTGGGCATGAGTTGAAGCAGACAAGAGAGATGTGAGTGCTCTGATGGGCTGACACAGACAGATTCTCTGCAAAGCAAGCAGACATGGGGAGTGCATGCATGCACACGTGTGTGCATCACTGCCTGAGGCTGAAGCCTTGGCAGAGGGCTGCCAGAGCAGCTGGGAGCAGTGTGCTCTATTCTCCCTCCCTCCTTCTTGTTTCTGATGAGTGTATGCCCTAAGAGGAGTTGGAACATGGCCTGTTAGACCTGTAGCTGCATAAAGTAATTTCCTTGTGCTGTCTTTTGCTTAGGGAGATGAAAACAAATCGGTCAGAGACCGTTTCAATGCGCGACAGTTCATTTCCTGGTTGCAAGACGTGGATGACAAGTATGATCGAATGAAGGTGAGAGGCTTGGGAGAGCCAGTGCATGGCTGGTACCAGGTCCTGCTCCTCTTCCTCCTGGCAGGAGGGGTTCTTCAGGAGGGGTCCTGGCTGTTGCTATAGCTTGAGAACTGCCTTTGTGGTTTCCAAAACCCTGGTGGGAGCAGGAGTCCTGAGGTGATGTGGGCAGCATTGGATGATCCAGGGTCATAGAATCCCAGACTGGTTTGTGTTGGAAGGGGCCTTAAAGCTCATCCAGTTCCAACGCCCCTGCCACGGGCAGGGACACCTTCTGCTAGAGCAGGTGGGATGCTTCTGTGGTGGGATGCATGGCATGGGGGGGAGTTGGGAGCCTCTGTGGGCACTTGGGGAGCACTTGCTGGTTCCAAAAAGGGGGTGGGAGACATATTCTGCTAAGGGTTGTCTGTCCGTCTGGGACTCTGCTTCATGCTGTATGGTCTGGAGCCTCTCAAGTCAGTTAGGGTCAGTCAGGGCCTGCTCTGCACCAGCAGTGTGTGCTGCAGCAAGCTCAAGGCCTGTAGTGAACTTCAGGGTGAAAGGACTGAAGTGCAGTGATTTGCAGGGTGCTCTGCAAAGCTCTGGTGGCACGGGAGGGAGCGGGGACGATTGTGCTTCCAGGTGGTGACACGGAGGGAGGTGACAGCTCCCATGAAGGGAGCAGGACCCTGCTCTTGGGCAGCAAAGGGCCACTGTTGGGGTCAGTGGGACTGTCTGCTGCCCGCAGGGTCAGTGCCCTCGAGTGCTTATGACCCTTTAAAAGCCATCCCACAAGGCCCTTTTGGGTTCACCCCTGCTTCTGCTGGATTTAGGCTCAGCAGGCATCTCAAGTCCAGGTTGCCTTCCTAAAAACGTGCTTGTGGCATCCTTTGCTGCTGTGCCCACCATGATTACTGCATGCCTCCTGCCTTTGCCAAGTGGAACGTGCAGCAGGAGCCTTTCCTGCCCTCTCCTACTTACCCATCATAGAATCATAGAATGGGTTGGCTTGGAAAGGACCTTAAAGCTCATCCATCTCCAACCCCCCCTGCCATGGGCAGGGACACCTTCCACTAGACCAGGTTGCACATTCACTTTGTATTTGAGACTGTTTATGATTCCTACTTAAATTCCTTCATTTATTCCAACAAGGATACACATTATAGGCACTAAAATTATGGTTTTCTGCTTGTTCTTTCTTCCTCCCCCCCCCGGATCCAGACGTGCCTGCTCATGCGCCAGCAACACGAAGCTGCTGCTTTGAACGCAGTGCAAAGGATGGAGTGGCAGCTGAAGGTGCAGGAGCTGGACCCTGCGGGGCACAAATCCCTCTGCGTGAACGAGGTGCCCTCGTTCTACGTGCCAATGGTCGACGTGAACGATGACTTTGTCCTCTTGCCGGCATGACAGTTCAAAACCAGGAGACATCACTGAACACTGGCACGGACGGGAGCCCTCCGAGGTCGGGCGGTCGAGCTCACATTCACCCTTACCGCTTGCTGATGAATCCCTGGTCAGAGGAGGAGGAAGCAGCTATCGGCAGAAAACAAAACAATGAGAAAAATAATTGCACTTTCTTCACAACGTGTCCCTCGCTTCCAGACTGAAGGCAGCTCTGCCGGGCAGTGGGCCAGGGCGCATCTCCTTTGCAGGGAGGCAGCCGGGCTGCACGGGCAGCGGGCACGCACCGGCCAAGAGACTGGCAGAGGCGCAGAGGGGGAGGCCAAGGACACCGTCTGTGTGTTGCAGAAGCTGCTGAGCAGGGCCAGCGACCCAGCGTGATTCATGTACTTGTGAACACCGTGATTTTCCAGCTCTCTCTTTTTCCACCGATGGCGGATCTCCGCTCGGAGAAGCTGCAGTAGGAAACCATGGGGGGGGGGTGTGGGGGGGGTGTTTTGAGTTTCTCGTTCCATCCTGGGTATGTCTAAAAAAAAATAAAATCTAAAAAAAAAAAAAAGACAAAAACTTAAAAAAAAAAAAAAAACACAAAAAAAAAAGGAAAAAAAAAACAAAAACAAAACAAAAACAAGTAGAAGCAAACAGACAGCGTCCGGGTTGGGCAGCCGCGGCTCTGGAGGTGAGGACAGCTCCGGCACCCGCAGCAGCCGCTCGACAGCCTTTGGGAAGAGCGCAGGAGCCACCGGAGCGGCGCGGCCGGGCAGGCGAGTGGTGATGCAGAGAAAGGACTTTGCCAACTGTGTTTTTAATGGAGTAAAATCCATGTGGTTTATATATTTTTTTTTCCTTTAATCTTGGGCATTTCGTTTCTCTTTCTGAGAACATAACTTGAAAACACTACAGAGCCAATACTCATATAAAGAAAAATTGTATCCCATAAATGCTGTACAGTTTTTATATACATTAACAATGTACTTTTGCTGCCTTCTAGATAATTTATTTTGCAACACATTACTGCACAGTTGTAAATAACTTATGTACTGTAACATCACTTTCAGTTATGTGTAAAGAAATAAATAAATTAATTAAAATTATCTTTGTATGTATAGTTCACCCTAGGCAGCACTTGCAAGGAGAAAATATGGTCCAGGATGGTGTGCAATGCTCCTCGGAAGCCCATCTGGTGTGCTCAGGTACGGAGGGGTGATTTGACCCGTGGGGCCATGCTGTAGGGGTCTCTGCATGCTCACTTTTAACACCACATCAGCATTGTCCTCCCTCCCCAGGCAAGGAGGTGGCTTCCCAGCACCCAGAGCAAGCTGGAGCCTGCAGCAGGGCTTGCAGCCAGCAGTGTTTCCTCTGGGATGCTGCCTGTGTGCCCATGGATGAGGCCTGCTGGACTCCCAGGGTGCTGCTGCAGCCACCACCACACTCCTGCCACCTCCTGTTCTTTCTAACACTGACCCTCAGAAACACGTTGAGGGACCAGTGCTGGCTCAATTCTCCCGTGTGAGGCTGGTGTTGGGCAGCACAGCCAGGAGCACCGTGTGGTGCTGTCCCCCCCACGTGCCCTGCACCTCTGGTACAGAAGCACAAACTGCTTTGGGTTGATTGGGTTGTAGGGATCTTAGAGCTCACCCAGCTCCAACCCCTGCCACGGGCAGGGACACCTTCCACTAGAGCAGCTTGCTCCAAGCCCCTGTGTCCAACCTGGCCTTGAACACTGCCAGGGATGGGGCAGCCACAGCTTCTCTGGGCACCCTGTGCCAGCGCCTCAGCACCCTCACAGGGAAGAGCTTCCTTATCCTCAACCTAAATCTCCCGTTTACGTTCACCCTGTGCCACCGCAGCCCTACCACCCCTTTGGCTATCGGCTTCCCACGGAGAGAGGCCAAAAGCAAGCACAGATAGGATTTTGCAGCAGTGGCGCTCCAGGCCAGCGGTGATTGTTAAATAAATCGTGAGGAGGGAAAAACAAAAGGCTTGTTGACTTGGCTGCCTTGCCGGTAGTGGATGCAAGGGGAGCTCTGACCCCACCTTCCCAGGGGAGGGACCAGACCCCACCAGCCTCCTGTAATACATAGGTGCACCCAGGCGCATCTGTGGGTGTGCACGGCTGGGTCCTGGCATCCCCGGTGCCAAGGGCGCTCCTTGGCCTGGAGCATCATAGAGGGTGAGGAGTGAAGCTAGCTTGAAGGGGAAGGGGGGGAATCGGGCTGGAGGGCGCAGACCCGGGCTGTAGTTGTGAACTGGGCTTGGGTTGGCACTGCCCGGCCTTGGGGGGCGAGCCGGGCTGGCTTGTGAGGAGGTAGATGAGGCTGTGGGGGGCGAGCTGAGTTCAGGGGGTACCGGCCCGAGGTGGGAGGGCGGTGAACCGGGTCCGGGGAATCGAATCGAGCAGGGAGGGGGCGTGAGTGTGAACCGGGCCGGGGGGGGGGGACGAGACGGGACGGGACGGTCCGAGCGTGAGACCCAGGTGTGGGCTGGACCAGTCCTGGAGGGTGGAACCGGAGCTTCCGGGGCTGCCCTTGCCAGGGCAGAACGCCGGGGAGCGGCAGGGTCAGCGCCAGGAGGACGGGCCTGTGCCCGGCTGGTTCTGGCCGTCCCCGCGGCGTCCGGCCCGCCTCAGAGCCAGCCTCGCCCGGCAGCGCTGCCCGGTGCCGGCCCGCCCGCCTGCCCCTGCCCCTGCCGCGACCGGCGATGCCGTCTGAGGGCTGGCGGCCGCGGGGTCGGCTGGCGGCGGGGGGGTGGGCTCCGTGCGTGGTGCTGGCGCTGGGCTGGGCGCTGGGCTGGGCGCTGGGAGCCGCTCCCCCGCACCGCTGCCGCCCGGACACCGCTCTGCTGCCGCCGCCGCTCCGCCGCCTGGCGGGGGTCGCGCTCCTGCGCGCAGCCGTCCCTCGGCTCCGCGGCGGATGGAGCCCCTGTCAGCTCTACCGGTACCGAGGCACCGCCGCCGCCGGCCCCAACGGCACCGGGCCCTGCACGCGGGGCTGGCACTATGCCCTTCCCGCCGCCGGCCTCCGCTCCAACCTCGTCACACAGGTCCGGGCGGTGCGGGAGGGTGAAGGGGTTTGAGGGAGGGGGGACCCCAGAGAAGCCCTGGGTGTGCAGGGGGAGCCCTGGGGGGGGTGTCCTGGGATGGGAGGGGGACGGACGGGACCATGAGGGTGCTGGACGGGACTCCCGGGGAGGGGCTTTGGGGGCTACAGGGAGCTAAGGACCATCCCCTATGTCCCCCCCCCGCGGGGCTTCACTGGCTCCAGCAAGGTCAGGGGAGAGGGGGGGGTGTTTCTGCCGGGACCCCCGTGCTGATGCCCCCTCCATGTCCCCCCTCTCCGCAGTGGGATCTCGTGTGCCACTCGCGCTGGAAGGTGCCCCTGGAGCAGACCACACACTTGCTGGGCTGGACGCTGGGCAGCATCACGGCTGGCCTGGCCTGCGACAGGTACCGGGGGGTTCCCTCCGCACCCAGAGCAGGGGTCCCGGCCCCAGCCCCGCTCACAGCCCCGTCCCCCGGCAGGTTCGGCCGCAGGACGGCCTTTGTGGTGTCCCTGGTACTGGCGGTGCCGCTGGGGATCAGTGTGGCGCTGGCCTCGGACTTCACCATGGTGCTTGTGGCCCGGCTGCTCTTCGGGGCCGCTCTGGCGGGCGCCTTCCTCTCCCTCTATGTTGCGCGTGAGTGTGGCGATGGGGTCCATGGTGCCCGAGCACCGAGGATGCTCCGGGGTGCCGGCTACCCCATGGCCATGGCACCCACGGTGCTCCCCCTCGCCCCCCCTTGCAGGGCTGGAGATGTGTGACCCCCCACACCGCCTAGGGGTGACCGTAGTGGCCAGCTTCTTCTGGATCGCCGGGGAGCTGCTGCTGCCGGGGCTGGCCGTGCTGTGCCGGCACTGGCGGGTGCTGCAGGGCGCTGTCACCACGATCCTGGCTCTGATGGCTGCCTTCTGGTGGTAAGGACCAAGGCATAGGGTGGGATGGGGTGGGGTGTGTGGGGGGGGGCTACCCCTGCACTGGGGCTGAGCTGAGCCCGGGGGGCTGGCGCTGAGCCGTGCCCAGCGCAGCGCACCCTGCCCGGGTGATCAAAGCCTGCCCGGGTAAATGTTTGCTCAGGCTCCAAGTGGAGGGTTTCCGGGCTGAGCCGCTCTGCGGCCGGGAAGGGGTCAGGGCAGGCCCTTGGGGGGCCCCCGTGACTCCAACCCTCTTGTCGCAGGTGCCTGGTGCTGCTGCTGGAGTCCCCGCGCTGGCTGCTGGCCACACGGCAGCTGGACAGGGCCAGGAAGACCCTGCAGGCACTGGGCAAGGGCAGCGGCTCCGAGCACAGCTCCTGCCACCAACAGAGCCTCTGCGCCGGTGCGTGCCCTCCGCAGAGCAGAGGTGGCGGTGGTGCCATGGTGCTGGCCCTAACCCGGGTCCCCGTGTCCCTGCAGAGCTGCAGTCCCTGTCCGAGGGCTCTCCGAAGCCCCGGTACCACGCTGTCTGCGAGATCTTCGGCACCCGGGTCATATGGAAGAACAGCGTCATCCTCGGCTTCACAGCGTGAGCAGGGGAAAGGTGCCAGGGGGCAAGGGGGTCCTGCCACAGCCCCCCTGATCCCGCTGCCCCGCAGGTTCATCGGCGCCGGCATCCACCACTGCTTCACCCGCAACCTGGCCCCGCACCTGCCCCACTTCTTCTCCTCCTACTTCACACTGGTGGGCACCGAGGCCACCGCCTCCCTCTTCGTCTTCCTGACAGCCGAGCGCTTCGGGCGCCGCGCCATCCTCCTGCTCTGCACCGTCCTCACCGGCATCTGCTCCCTCCTGCTGCTGGCCCTCACCCAGTGTAAGGATGGGCGCAGGGCTCCCCTGCTCTCCTGGGCAGGTTTGGGAACAGGATGCTTCGGGTGGGCTGTGTGCAGGATTTGACCCCTGATGATGCTTTTCCCCCTCGCCCAGACTTGCTGGAGTTCATTGTCTTGACCCTGTCTGTGGTTGGCATCACCACATCACACGCCGTCACCATGCTCAGCATCTTCTTCGCCAGCGAGGTCCTCCCCACTGTGGTCAGGTAAGGGGGTGGAGCTGCCACGTCCCTCCTGCTACCCCAGGGTGACCCGGACAGGGTCCCTTGGGTCCCCTCTAAGTGCATTTCCCCCACAGAGGTGCCGGGCTGGGCCTCATTGCGGGCGCCAGCTTCGTGGGCAAGGCAGCAGCCCCCATCACCGCCATCCCCAACAGCCGTGGCTTCTTTCTGCACCACATCGTCTTCGCCTCCTTCACCATCCTCAGCATCCTCAGCATCATGCTGCTGCCAGAGAGCCAGGGCCACAGCCTGCCTCAGTCCCTGGAGGACGGTGAGAAGCAGCGCCGGTCCCCCCTCTTCCACCAACCACCCCGCGAGGACCACGTGCCCCTGCTCGCCACCCCGCGCAGCCAACACTACTCCAACCTCACCTCCTCCACCAAATCCATGGCGGGCTCCACAGTCACCCCCAGTGAGATGTAGCTGTGCCCCCCACCCCATACTGGAGTCTCCCCACTGCTGAACACGGTGCTGGGACCCCCCATCTTTGGGTGCTCACGGGGATGACGGGGTGCACCGGAACACATGTGATGGGGGGAGCAGCAAGCCAACCCCACGGTGGGGGTGGATCCTGCCCCACGAGGAGCTTTGCTGAGAGTCCTGGGGCAGAGGTGATGCCCCCCCTGGGATGCTTGCACCAGAGGCTCGCGGGCTGCCAATAAAAGTGCCTTGTTTCTATGGGCGGCTGGTGAGGTCGGGGCCCCGCAGAGTGCCCCTGCCACCGGCCCCTTCTCTGGGATCTTTATTATGGGGGCAGTGGGGGTCCCCAGCTCTATGGGGCTTATCCCCGGGGCATTGCCCTCCACAGGGCTGCCCATGTCCCCACATTCTGCCTTCCTGGGGTTTGCTGGGCATGGGGTCCATGGTGTGTGCAGGTGTGCCAATCCCTGCACTGAGGCCTCTCTTGGTGCACGCGCATGTGCAAAGCCCCTGCATCTTGTGCGTGTCCATATGCAAAGCTGCTGCAGCCGGGCATCCTGTGCAAGATCCCCACTGCTGGTTCCCCATCCCAGCCCCTCAGTGGACAGTGGGGTGACCCCCTCCCCAGCGCCCCCCCCCCGATCCCTGCTACTGCCCATAGAGGTCGGCGAGGCGCCGGAAGCGTGGCCCCCACTCCGTCAGGTAGTCATAGTCCTGGTCCTCATCCGTCAGGCTGGAGACGATGGAGCTGAGGGGGCTGGCGACGGAGCCTGAGCCCTCGTAGTCATAGATGAGGGCCGTGTCGTAGGGGGGCACGCTGGGGTCGCTATCAGCCGCCTCCAGCCCCTGCGGGGACAGAGGAGCACCGTCACCCCACTGGGGCTGGGGGCTGGGGGCAGGATGGGGCACTGAGCCCCATCCCCACCTCGTTGATGAAGTCCTCGATGTCAGAGGGGCCACTGGGCAGCTTGCGGGGTGCCAGGGGGGTGGCGGAGCTGAGCGGGGCGTCCCTGCGCAGCGGCGGCTTCACCCGGGGCGAGAAGAGCTCGGGGTGCCGGAGCTGGTTGATGTCGTAGGCATCCTGCGGACATGGATGGGGTCAGCAGCGGTGTGGGGCCGGGATGGACCCCCCCCCCCCAACCCGGGGGTGTCCCCGGGTCCTGCTGACCTGGTCCTCCTCGCCCCCACCCTGCTCGTCGTAGTTGAGGATGTTGTCCCGGAGGTCGTCCCGCGAGCGCTGCAGCAGCCCCTTGCGCAGAGCCCGCCGGCGCCCACGCACCCGCGCGGCCCCCAGCCCCACCAGCACTGCGGGCACAGCGCCCATGGGTGCCAGGCCAGGGCAGCCAGAGCCGGTGGGACGGGGGGTGAGGAGGGTGCTGGTGGGGCTGGGGGAGTGGGGTGGGGATGCAGGAAGGGATTTGGGAGCAATGGGGTGGGATGGGTGAAGAGGGAAAGGGTTGGGGGGTGTCTTAGAATAGGTCAGAAGGGGTTGCTGGGGGGCAGTGTTGAGAGGCATGAGTAGGATGGGGTGTTCTGGAATAGGATGGGGTGATGAGGGATGCGGGTAGGGAGAGGTTGGGTTGTTCTAGACCAGGGTGGGGTGATGGGGAATGTGGGAGGTGCTCTGGACGGGGATGGGGTGATGGGGAATGTGGGAGGGAGAGGTTGGGGTGCTCTGGACCGGGATGGGGTGATGGGGAATGTGGGAGGGAGAGGTTGGGGTGCTCTGGACCAGGATGGGGTGATTTGGGACATGGGCAGGGACTGTGTGGGGAGGCCAGGACCATGATGGGGTGACAAGGTGACGGATTGTGCTGGTAGGGCTCAGGATGGGTGGCCAGGACCAGCACTGCACAGAAGAGCACAGGGCTGGGGTGCCGGCTGGGGGCAGGATGGAGGGCTGGGGGGGGTCTCACTCACCAAGGAGCAGGATGCTGCTGCCGAGGATGATCACGAGAGCCCCGAGGGTGATGCCGGCGCCGGCAGTGGCTGCAGCCAGGACGCTGTCCTCGCAGGTGCCCTCCCGGCCGCAGTGGCACACGGAGACGTTCAGGAGCTGCTGCTGCTCCCGCGGGGGGGTCCCCGAGTCCCGCACCAGCAGCGGCAGCGAGTAGAGCCCCTCGGGCAGCTCCGCCAGCACGGCCAGCACGGAGTGGGTCACTGCGGGCAGGGAGCGGGGCTGAGCGGGGGGTCCCCCAGCGCCCCCGATGCAGCAGCACCCGCAGCCCGGTCCGGCCCCGTTACCATTGAAGCGGGAGATGCTCCAGTTGCGGGCGAGCTGCGGGTGCTGGGGGCTGAGCTGGAAGTGGAAGGGGGCGCCGTGGGGGGGGCGGTCATCGTCCGTGGCCCCCAGGAGCAGGGTCCCGCCGCGTCCCGGCCGCCCGCAGAGCAGCGCCGCCGGCGGCTGCAGCACCGGAGCGTGGTCGTTCACCTCCAGGATCTCGATGGAGAGGGTGCCGGTGGCCGAGAGCGGGGGCTCGGCTGGGGGCACAGAGCGCGGAGGTCAGGGCGGGATGGATGGAGCGGGGTCGGGGGACGTGGCTTTGTGTGGGGGGGGTTCCGCTCACCGTCATCGCGGGCGAGGACCAGCGCGATGTACCAGCCGCCCTGCAGGAAGGCGGAGGGGTGCAGCAGCTCCCGCTTGGTGCGGACGGTGCCGGTGTGGGGGTCCAGCCGCAGCCAGTCCGCCGGGTCATAGAGCAGCGTGTAGCTGTGGGTGCAGAGGGAGGGGGGAATGAGTACACCCTCCAAAACACCCACAAACGGGTGCCGGAACCCATGTTCTGGGGCTCACGCGAGGGTCTGGAGCTGGTGCGTGTCGGGGTCGCTGGCAGTGTAGGTGGTGACGGGGGTGCCTGGGGGGGTCCCCTCCAGCACGCTGATCCGCCGCGGGTTCTCCCGGAACACGGGTGCCTCATTGACATCCCGCACCCGCACCCGCACGGTGGCCAGAGCCCGGGGGCTGGTGGGAGCCGTGGGCTCCAGAGGCTGCTCGTTCTGCACCGACACCGTCAGCTCGAAGCGGTCCCGCACCTCGTGGTCCAGCGGCTGCAGACAGGGGCCCAAGGTCAACCCGACCCATGGGACCCCCCCACATCCCGACCCAGCCGGTGGCCCTGCGCCCACCTTGGCCACGGAGAGCACGCCGTCGTTGGTGTGGGGGTCGGTGTGGATGGCGAAGGCGCCCTCGGGGTCGCCCTCCAGGATGGTGAATTTGGCCAGCCAGTTGGGTGAGCCGGCCAGGTCCTTGTCGTGCACGAACACCCTGCCCACGTCCACGCCGACCGCCTGCTCCTCCACCTCCATGGAGAACTTTGGGGAGGGGGGGGGAGCGATGTGGGGATGGAGGCTGCTCCCTTGGGATGCTGCTGACCCTGCGTGTTAACCCACCCTGCCCCAGCCACTACCTCCTCCTTGGTGAACTCGGGAGGGTTGTCGTTGATGTCCTCCAGGTAGATGATGGCCATGGCGGTGGTGGTGAGCCCATCCCCGGACATGTCAGCTGCCTGCACCGTCAGGTTGTACACCCCCATGGTCTGCAGGGAAGGAGGGGGCCGGTGCTGAGCCCCTTCAGCACCCCAAGCAGCCCAGAGGTCTCCCAGAGGCCACCCGTTGCATCCCCGTGCCTGGGTCTGCCCATGGCTGGAGCTGTGGTTCTACCATCTCCCACAGTGCCAGTGCCACCCCGGTGCCCTCCTGGTGCCACCCGTGCCCACTACCTCACGGTCAAGGCCAGGCCGTGCGGTGCAAATCTCGCCAGTGGTTGCATTGATGCTGAACATGCCCCCAGCACCCTGCTCCAGGATGGAGTACCGCACCACTGCGTTATCCGTGTCGGGGTCATCAGCATCAGTGGCATCCACCGTCATCATGCAGGTCCCTGCGGCCACAGGAGCACCATGGTGGGTGCCAGCACCGGGACTGATTCATCCTCCTCTTTCCCCAGCACCTCCCCAGCTGGTCTGACCTGGCTCAGCACCCTCCACCACGCGCCCTGTGAACACATCCTGCCGGAACAGTGGCCGGTTGTCGTTCTGGTCCACCACGATGATCTCCAGGTCAGTGGGGTCCTCCAGCGTCACACCACCCAGGTCCAGCGCGAAGGCTTTCAGCTGCGGGCATAGCACAGGTCGATTGGGGCTGGTTGTGGGGCTGGGGAGGGAGCTGTGGGCAGGCAGGCAGCATCCTTACCCTGAAGCGGTCGTTCTCCTCCCGGTCCAGCATGGCGTTGAGGAACACCTTCCCGCTGAACTTGTCAATGGAGAAGATGCCCAGGGGCTCCTCATCCACCCCAGGCCCCTTGATGCTGTAGATCACCCCCCCAGGCTGTTGCTTGTCCGACTTGATCTGGGGGAAGCAAGGCTGATGGTCCTGGGGCTGGGGGGCTCTGTCCCCTGCCTGGGGTCCCCCTCTGCCCTGAGCCTCCCCCCATGCCACATCCTCCCTCCTGGGGTGCCCCAATGCAATCCTCCTGCACAGGGTGTCCCCCACCGCCTCGAAGAGAGGGTGGGGGGCTCCTACCTGCACCAGGAGGTGTGGGATGCGCTTGTGGTTCTCCGAGACGCTGATGGGAGGGATCACCCAGGCCCTCTTCACCCGCCTTGGAGCCTCGTGCTGCTGCCAGGCCTGGGGGCTGCCTGGGACTGTGAGCCCCGGCTGGGCTGGGCTGGCACCCTGCAGGGGGACACGGTGCTGCCGGTGACCCTGAAACCTCCCATGTGGGGTGCGGTGCTGGGGGAGTTAGCAGGGACTTGCATGGTTCTGAGGTGCACAGTACTGGGGTGAATAGGGATGGAATGTAGTGACGGTGCAGGTTGATGTGGTTAACGGTGATGGGGTGTGCAGTGATGGGGTGCACAGTGATGGAGTGCATAGTGATGGCCCCCCTGATGGGGTTGGTTCTTGGGGAGCAGAGAGGTCACCCAGGTCCCCTGGGGGCTTTGTGTCAGTGGGCCCCTGACATCCTGATGTGATGGTGAGGGGTGTCCCGCAGGGAAAGGGTGCTCCTCAAGTGATCCCGGTCATGCTCTGGGCATGACCCCATGCCACAGCTGGGCAGGGCCCCATGAGACCCTTGCAATAGGGACTGGAAGTGGCACCCCAGCCCAGGTCATGGTAACTGCATGGATGTGCTGGAAGGGTCAGGGATCAGTTTAGGCTGCAGGGGTGGCCTGGCTGGGCCACAGATCAGGAGTGCTGTGGGGCACAGGGAGCTGTGGGGCTGGGGTGGAGCTGGGGGCTGTGAGGTGGGGGAGAT